GGAGAAATAAATGGACAGAAGAAAGGAAAGGGGAGAAAAATAAATGGACAGAAGGAAGGAAAGGAAAAGGGGAGAAATAAATAGAAGGAAAGAAAGGAAAGGAAAGAGGGGAGAAATAAATGGATGGAAGGGAAGAAGGGAAAGGAAAGGGGAAAAGAAAGGAAGGAGAGAAATAAAGGGAAGGGAAAGGAATAAATGGAGGAAGGGAAGGAAGAAGAAATAAATGGAAGGAGGAAGAGATGAAAGAAAAGAAGAAATTGAGGGAGTAAAGGAAAAGAGGAAGAAGATCAAAATAAATGGAGGGAGGGTGTCATTTTTCACCTCTCGAAGCCTCCCAAGTCTGGCAGTTCAGTCATCAAATGGGGCACAGGGACTATTCCCTCCCTCCCAAATTAGAATCGGACTTTTGATGCATCTCAATCTTTTTTGTGTTTCCCCCATTGGGGTCCTGGGAAGATGACATCCCACCAGACTTTCAGGTGAGATGGGCCTGCCTTCTTCACTCTCTCCTCTCCTCTGTCCTGCAGGTTCAGCTTGGGGCGAGAGCAGCTCAGGGAGAATCACCAACTGTCTTGTCCTGAAAAACCTCACGCCACAGGTGAGATTTTTTAATTTACAATTATTATTTGTGTTTTTTATTTTTTCTGTGCTTCTAATAGATGCATTTTAAAGGACCCTTTGTTTTATCTGTGTATTTAACTTCAAGTAGCCAGCTTTTGGTCAAAGGAAATGTAGTATAATGCCAAGTTTGTGGGGGTTTTTTATACATTATAACTGTATTTTCAATTTGCTTCTGACACTATTGCTAAATAAAATTTTAACTATGCTGTGCCCCGTTGCCTCAAGCTGTGAAGAGGAGTAGGTAACGATTATGATCATTCCCACCCCTCACCCCCCTCCACCCCACCCCCAGATTGATGGCTCCACCCTGCGGACGCTGTGCATGCAGCACGGGCCACTGAAAACATTCCACCTGAACCTCCCACACGGGAACGCTTTGGTCCGCTACAGTTCAAAGGAAGAGGTGATGAAGGCACAAAAGTCCCTCCACATGTAAGTGCAGCCGGCAGAGGAACCCAGTGGTGCCTGGGTTAGGTCTTTACTAATGGTACATTTTAAACATAGTCATTGTTTGGTTTTAGATGTTATGGTTATTGGCTCTCTGGTTGCAGGGTGGACTATAACTCTCATCCTGGATTCAACCCTGAAGCCCCTCCAGTATTTTAAGTTGATCATGATGGGGATGTGTGCCACATTTGGTCTGGATCCATTGTTGGCAGGAGTCACGGGACTCTCTGGAAGTGGGAGTCATCTTGGAAAATACATAGAAACATAGATAGATAGATAGATAGATAGATAGACGGACGGACGGACGGACGGACGGACGGACGGACGGACGGACGGACGGATAGTATCTAATTTGTCTTTTATATACATAGATGGATACAAACATATAGATAGATAGTTTGATACGAACAAAGATAGATACAAACGGATAGATAGATGAATACAAACATAAATAAATGGATACTATGATGGAGAAATAGATGGATGGATGGATAGATAGATAATACAAACATATAGATACAAACATAGATAAATACAAACATGGATAGATGGCTAGATAGTCAGAAAGACAGACTAACTTGGATGGATGGATGGATACCTGCTTTGACTTTTTATTATATACATAGACGGATAGGGAGGTAGGTAGATTGATGCAAACCTAGACAGATAGATAGCTATGTGACTTTTTATTATATACATAGATGGATGGATACAAACATGGATGAATGGTGAGATAGATACAGTCAGACAGATAGACTTTTATTATATACATAGATAGATACAAACATGAATAGATGGATACAAACTAGATGAATGGATTGTTACAAACTTGGATAGATGGCTAGATAGGCAGACGGACACTAACATGGATGGATAGATACTTGCTTTGACTTTTTATTATAGACATAGATAGATGGATACAAACATAGATGGATGGACAGACACAAACAAAGCTACATTGCAATGCAATAGACAAACACAGAATTACGTAAGTTTGAAACCTGGAATGGCTTAGATGATGCTACTGGAAAATGAGATTAACAGGAAAGCATTGGTTATTATATGTTTTTAATGGTTTTTATATTGTTTTTATAATGTTTTAAATGTTTTAATTGTATACTATGGACTGTTATGGCATCAAATTGCTACCAATTTGTAAACCGCCTTGAGTCACCTTTAGACTTGAGAAAGGCGGGATATAAATACCATAAATAAATAAATAATACATTGACATTTTATTATATAGATTGATGATGGTGGTGGTGATTTTCTTCTCCCTCGTGACAGGTGTGTCCTGGGCAACACGACCATCCTGGCGGAGTTTGCCAGCGAGGAGGAGATTAGCCGCTTCTTTGCACAAGGCCCCTCCCTGGGCTCCTCCCCGGCCTGGCCCCCCCAGGGCCACTTGGGGGCCTCTTCCGGGGACAATGGTGCCAGCCACGCCTTCCCCGGCCGCAGCGACCCCTCCACTCACTGGAACGGGGCCGGGGACCTGCATGGCGGAGGTGGCAGCAGTAGCAACAGCAGCAGTGTTGGGAGCTCCTCGCTGTGGGGACGGCTGAGCTACTCCTCTGGCCTGTGGGGCTCCCTGGGGGGTGGGGGGGAGGCCCGGGGCCTGATGGGCGGCCCCTCCTCGGCTCTTGGCGCCTTTCTCTCAGCCGACCATTTCGGGGTCACGGCAGCAGCAACAGGGGAGTCCATGTGAGGAGTGGGCCTTCCGCCCCTTCCTCTCTTTTCGGCCCTAGACGGTGACCTCAAAGCGGCACTGAAGTGGACCCCCCACAATTGGGCTCCCTGTGGAAGTAGTTACGCCGCTGCGCACATTTCCCCCTCTTTTCCTCCCCCAAAACAGTCTGAAATACTTGAATCACGCAGGCCAAGACGAATATATATATAGGTAGGTAGATACATAAAAATGTGAAAAGAGTCAATAGATTTACACTTCCAAGGTTCGAGTGCTATCCGGAAGAAAAGAAAAGCAGGCAGGCAGACAACCCAACGCAGAACCCGTTTTCATGTCTTAGCTTGGTTGTTGTTTTTTTTCTGGGGAGGGGGGTGTTACTTGGAGCTTTTCTTTCAAAGCTTTTGCACAGACCTTGCAATATTAGTGGAGGAGGGAGCAGCGGTTTGTCGGTGCCAAATAATCGAGCAAAAGGCAACGGCAGCGATAAGATGACAGATGAGAGGAAGAGGCGCAAAAGCGTGAGTTGCGCCTGCCTCTTTTTTTTGTTTTTTTTTTCAGAAAGGAACTTTAAAAAAAAAACCACACAAAACAGAGCGGTTTGTGAAACCGTGCGCACAGCAGTTTGGGTCCTGCACTTTCCAAGAGGCTTTGGGGTTGTTTCCTTGAAAGAGAAATATGGGGAGGAGGGAGGCTCCTCTCTTTCAGGGGGCACTGCCTTGTTTACAAATGTTTGCGTTCCTTTTCCTTTCCACATTTACTCTTCTCCTCCTCCTCTCCCCCAATCCTTTTTTCACGGAACGATTTCTAAACCAATGCGGACGGTAAAAGGTTGCTTTCTATCTCTGGGAAACCTCTCGAGCAGTGTTTGGCCATGTTCCCCTTTGTGTTCGTGGTGTTGTCGTTTCTGTTTGTTCCCTTCTAAGGCCCGCCTCCTAAATCTTTGATGAGCATGGCTCTCAGGAAAATGAGCAAACAAGCCAACCAAGGTCCCCAGGAAAACTCCTCTGTGTTCCTTATACAATAATAATGATAAATAATGACTTTTTAAAGCACTGATTCCTACTTTGCTGTGTGAAACTTCTGCCAAAAATTGCTTCCAATTGCTGGAGGGTGCCACTCTGTGCATTCCCAGATTTCGGGGGGTTTGGTTCTTGACCTTTAATCCCGCCATGTTTGCAGAGCACCCCCCCCCCCAAAATACCCCTTTATTCCTCGCTTTTCCTCTGCTTTGTGACTGTGTTCCATGTTTTAACCTTTTAAAAAAAGCCGAAGTTTTAACTATGCAGACTGTAGCCAAGGTCTTGGATTTACAGAAACTTTGTTGTATACGTTTTAAATGTCGAAAAGTTCTCGCCAGTAACTTTTCTCGTGAAAGTGTTATTCGAATCATCTTACTGCTTTTATTGTTTTATTCCTTACCTTCTTTTTGTTTTGTTTTGTTTTTGGGGTGCCACAAATGGTATTATGATGACGATGAAGCTTGTTTAGTCCGAGGATGAATGACTAAACAAGGATAAAAAAAAGAAAAAGAACGAACCTTTTTTAAACTGTGCCGAAAGACGCTCTCATTTCATTGCCTTGATTCTAACTGTTGTGTCCAGAAGATGCAAAAGTCAACCGTGGCTTTTTTTAACTGTTTACAAATAGAGTGTGATTGTAAAATGTACAGTTCGAGTTGTGGTTCCAAATGATGACGTTTCTCCAGATATTAATAAATCATGACATGTTTTTTCCTTCCTTTGTGGCTGCTTGTTCTCAGTGTCATTTGTGGGGTTCACAGGGGTCTCTACATAAAGTGGACTACAACAACTATCATCTTCTGTCAATATCCCCAGACCCCTCCAGTAAATTTTAGTTGGCCATAATGGGCCTGTGTGCCAGATCTGGTCCAGATTCATTGTTTGTGGGAATCACAAGGCTCTCTGGATGCAGGTGGGCTATAACTCCCATAATCCTGTATTGGTGCTCTGTAGCTGGGTGGAGTACAGCTCCCATCATCCCGTATTGGCGTTGTGTAGGTGGGTAAAGTACAGCTCCCATCATCCCATATTGGTGCTCTGTGGGTGGGTGGGCTACAACTCCCATCATCCCAGATCAACCCTCCCCCCCCCCAAAAAAAACCCCAATACTATTCATTGTGTTTTTGGGTTTCTTCCCAACGTATGTTTGTCTTAATTTCGTTGTTCTTTTCTTCACCCCAAAAAAGTCCACTTGAAAATACAAAGCAACACTTAACACAGAAATATAATACGTTTTTTTGGAAAAAGGATTGCCCTTTAATATACCTCGATCACAGCTTTACTTTAATACACAACAATAATATTATTGGAGCATCCGGTTTCCTCTTTCTCTGGGCAGACTCCCTTCCTGCAGAGTCTGGCTCTTTAGCTTTATTGGGTGACAGATCCCATCTTCCTTTATGGTCACCAAGCTGTTTGAGCACCGCCAGAGACCTTTGCCAGCCAGGTTGACCCTTTGGACTTTGACATCTGGAGACCCACAGCTGCAGACTGCACAGTCTGAGGTTAGAGTTTTGCTACCGTTGAAGATCCATTCTTTGAAAACCACACTTTGACCCGCAGGACTCAGGCTGTCCAGCTTCTCTCCAGGCTGACCAGCTCCATCCCTTCGCAGCAGGAAAGGGGCCGTGGAGACTTTGGCTGCCAGCAGAATGGAAGAAAAAGAGAAAGGTGGGGATGTTCAGCCTTTCCTGCGGCTCAAAAGGATCCTCAAACACCTTCTCAAAGGAAGGTGGTTCAGGGCAATAAAAGGGACTGCAAGTGATGCCCTGAACAAGGAGGCAAGATCTGAGGCCACCTCTTGTCTGCTCTTGCACAGAATCATGGATTTGGGAAGAGCACCCAGAGGGCATCCAGTCCAAGGAAAAGAAGGGTCCCTTTGTGCAGGGGATTCGGGGCGGAGCACAACATATATACGGCAAACATTCAATGCCGGGACATAAAACCATAAATATATACAAACACACACACACAAACACACACATATATATTATGGTCGATGACCAGCACCAAAATCCCTTTGGATAAAAGCACCTTGGGCCTTCCTTACCGCTGGCTCCCTGTTTGACCGCTGGAGTCCATGGAAGGGGCTCCACTGGATGGGCTCCAAGGCCCAGCTGCAGACGGAGACCTCACTGGCCTTCCCCGAGTCGATCATGGGATCGTTGGCACCGAGAGAGCTCTCCTCCCAATGCAAAGCGGAACTGGAAAAGCGGGGGAGAGGGAAGGAGACCCCAAAATGAACCACAAAGGGGGGCAGGGGTTGTGGTGCTAACATTAGAAGGGATACACAAAAGGCATCCAGTCCAACCCAGTTCTACTGTCATAATCCAGTCCTTCCTGACAGTCATCCTGCTTAAAAACCTCAAGGAAAAAGACTCCACCAGACGCTAAGATGGCATATACTAACTCTCAAACAGCTTTTAGCACCAGAAAGTTCTTCCTAATGTGTACATGGAATCTATTTTCATTAATTTGGCTATCCGCTGGCAGGGATGGGTGGCACGGTCCCTCCAGGAGGGACAATTTGAAGGATGTATCTACACTAGAATTGGTGCCGTTTGGTGCCACTTTGACTACCAAGGCTCATTGCTAACGAGAGTTGCAGAGAAGGCAAAAAGGCCTTGCAAAGTTGCACCGCCAAGGATCCCATTACATTGAAAGTGGCATCAAACTGCAGTACTATGGCACTAAGCAGTTGATGTTTTGGACAGAAAGCTTGGCATGCTTCGGACCTTTGCAGCCCCAACTGTGAGGCCGGTTACCTGGGTTGCCCCACGGAGCCAAGATGGAGGTTGCCGTGAATGGGGTTTCCATAGCCGCCGGAGGCCAGGGGCTCCTCTTGAGTGCCATAGCAGCCGGTGTCCAGGATCTGCAAGTGGAGCAACTCCTCCGAGTTGCTGAAGGCCGGGTTGTCCAAGGAATTGGCTGAGGCCAGCCACGGTTCGGACCAGTAGTGTGCCGAGACATCATCCAGGCGGCAGAAGCGCCGATAGCTGCAACAGGAGCACAAGGGATGACGGCTGGCCGGGAAGACCCCAATGCTCTGATTATGGGGATGGGGACAGGAATTGGGAAGGGCCACTTTAGGGACCTAACTTCTAAATAAAGGTTTCTAGACCCAGACCTGCCTAAGTGAGAACTCCAGGCCTAATATCCTTCCTTCCTTTTTTTCTTTCCATCATCCTTTCCATCCTTCCATCATGAAGGCCCTCTTCCATCTATCCTTCCATCCATCCATCCATCCATCATGAAAGCAGCATATGCTCACATCCTCCTTTTCTTCCTTCCATCATGAGGGCATCACAGGCCCACATCCTTTCTTCCTTTCCTTCTTTCCATCCATTCATACATCATGAAAGGAGCGCAGCCCTGCCCCCCTCCCTCACTCCCTCCCTCATTCCTTCATTCCTTCCTTTCTGAAGGCAGCACAGGTTCACATGCTTTCCTTCCATCATGAAGGCGGTGCAGACTCACAACATTTCTTCCTTCCTTCCTTCCTTCCTTCCTTCTTTCCATCATGACAGCGGCAGGGCCCACATCCTCCTTTTCTTCTTTCCTTCCACCATGAACGTAGCTTGAGACCACATCCATCCATCCATCATGCAAGTAACACAGCCCTCCCTCCTCCTTTCCTTCCTTCCTTTCTATCATGAAGGCGGTTCAGGTTCATATCCTCCTTTTCTTTCCTTCCATCATGAAGGTAGCTCAGGCTCCCACCTATCCAGCCATCTATCCAGAAAGGAGCTCAGGCTCCCTTCCTTCCTGCCTTCCTTCCTTCCTTCCTTCCTTCTTTCCTGGTGGCAGGTGGGCTGAGAAAGTTCAGAGATGACCCTGGAATGCAGCCAGGAGCCGTCTGGAGTGAAGGGAGATGCCCCTCGGAGGGCTTTTTAAGGGTCTCCTCACCCAGCCTTGCACTCACCTGCTCTTGGTCTGGTCGGCTCTAGCCTCCAGCAACAGCAGCCGGACCCTGCGGATGACCAATCCAGCCACGGCCAGGCCAAGTGCCACTAGGCTGAGCAGAAGGCCACAGGCCACGCCCAGGACACCCTGCTGGGTCACGCGGAAGTCACAGCGGAGGCCCAGGAACCAGAAGTCACTGCCCACAGGGCACCTGCCGGACCAGAGAGAGGACAGGCGGATGTCAGCCGCAGAAAGGCCCCTGCGCAGCACGCCTCCCGATGCCCCAAGAGTCTTGGCCAGCAACTCCCAAAGTCTGGTCCTGCACGTGTTTTGGACTTCAGCCCCAGAAGCAATGGCCATTAGTTGAAGTGGCTGCGGCTGCTGGGAGTTGGTCCAAAATCCCTGAAGGAGCAGAGTTGGGGAATCCACAGTCCCACTCCCCCAGCAGCTTCTAAAATGCCGCACTTGATGTCTTTGTAGGGCAGGAAGCCTATTTTAACCTTTTATTATTACCCTGTTTCCTCAAGTCTAAGATACACTTTCCTCCCTTATATAAACCTCTCTAAAAATGGGGCGCACCTTAGAATTACAGGCGTATCTGATTTAATTATGTTGGTGGAGGTGGTGGTGAAATGAGGGTGCATTTTACAATCAATGGCATCTTACAGTTAAAGACATGTGGGTTGTTTGTTGTTGTTGTTGTTATTATTATTATTATTATTATTATTATTATTATTATATTTCTCTTGGTTTTGGTTTTGGGTGCTAAGCAGGACTGAGCCTAGCTGCTTCCCGAATGAGAGACTACAGGAAAAGCATTGGGGGAAGACTCCTGTCTATTATTATCATTAGTATTATGACCATGTCTCTTTCGATCTTGGTTTTGGATGCTGAGATAGGTCTTCCTTCTCCCTCAATGGGAGTCCGCAAGTTATAACATTTGCTATTATTATTATTATTATTATCATTATCATTATTACTATGTCTTTTTTGATCTTGGTTTTGGGTGCTAAGATAGGTCTTCCTTCTCCCTCAATGGGAGACCCCAAGTTATAATAGTTGCTATTATTATTATTATTATTATTATTATTATTATTATTATTATCATCATCATCATCATCATCATCATTATTACTATGTCTCTTTCAGTCTTTGTTTTGGGTGCTAAGCTGGGTCTTTCTGCTCCCTAAATGGGGACCCTAGGATATAATTACTGCTGTTGTTGTTATAACTACATTTCTTCCATTCTAAGACATACCTTTTTCTATATACACTTTTCAAAAAATGGGGTGTGTCTTAGGATCACAGATGCATCTTATGTATTTCTGTTGTTGGTCCTGAAATTGAGGTGCATCTTACAATTGAAGAAATGCTGCAAATATATGGTTTTTTAAAAGATTGAGTTTCTCTCTTTTTTTCCTCCCGCTTCTCCCTTTTCGCCTTTGGAGCCCCTTGCACTCCATTCAGTGCATCCCATCCTCTCTTTGTTTGGGGATTGCTTTTGCTATCTCAGCCATTGAGATGCACTCACTGGCAGACGGGGGTCTGGTTGGCTGCATGGGTGCAGATACCCTGGTTCTTGCAATAGTCCCGGTGGCAGGCAGAGACGCAGGTGGCGCTGGCGAGGGCCCCTTCGGTGGTGGCGACGCATTCATAGCCCTCGCGGCAGGAGAAGAGCGTGGTGCAGGGATCCAGGTGCCTCTCTGTAGGAGGAGGAAGAGATGAAGATGATAAGAGACCACAGGCGTAGAATGAATGCACTTTGCCTTGCTTCAGTGCTATGGAATCCTGGAGGCTGTAGTTTGACAAGGCCTTGGGCCTTCTCTCCTAAAGAATGCTGGTGCCGCATTAAACTACAAATCCCAGGATCGCATAGCATTGAGACATGACCTTTAAATTAGAGGTGACATCCCTCCAAGAGGAGCTCCTGAAGTAGCTTCCCCTTTGGCTTTGGCTCAGCACTAAGATGACTGTATGACGCAAGTCTAATGTGCACCCTCATTTTGCAGAGGTAATTTAGCCCCAAATGGTGAGCATTAGATTCAGGTAAATAGAGTATCACATGGCTTTTAGTAGGAAATCGATGCATCTTGGAATTGAGGTGCTCTTATGCAAATAATGATGATGATGATGATGATGATGATGATGATGATGATGATTGGCACAATGGGTGCAGCGCCTAAAGACCTTGGCCTGCACTTAAACACAATCGGTGCTGACAAAATTACCATCTGCCAGCTGCAGAAGGCCACTTTACTGGGATCTGCACGCATTATTCGCCGATACATCGCACAGTCCTAGACACTTGGGTAGGGTTCGATGTGTGATGCAATACAACATCCAGCAGAGTGACCTTATTTGCTGTGGACTCAGCTTGTTGTATTTCAAATAATAATAATAATAATAACAACAACAACAACAACAACATCATAGTATCATAGAATCATTGAGTTGTAAGAGGGTGGGACATCCAGTCCAACCCCTTGCCAAGAAGCAGGAAAATCGCATTCAAAGCACCCCCGACAGATCCAGCTTCTGTTTAAAAGCCTCCAAAGAAGGAGCCTCCACCACACTTCGGGACAGAGAGTTCCACTGCTGAATAGCTTTCACAGTTAGGAACTACTTTCCTGTAGTTTGAAGCCATTGCTCCATTGTGTCCTAGTCCCCAGGGCAGCAGGAAACAAGCTTGCTCCCCACTCACATATTTATACATGGCAATAATAATAATAATAATAATAATAATAATAATAACAACAACAACAACAACAACAACATATTACCTTCTTGCTTTTTTGACGCAAGGAGGGCCTTTTCCCCTTCTTGGTGGTAATGAAATTATTGTGCATTTCATAATTCATGGTATTTTAGAGCTAACATTGTGCCTCCAATATTAGCCCTGTTTCTGGGTGTATTTGATAACTGCTGCTTCCCAAAAGTGGCCCCTGTTTTCCCCCCATTGCTTTAGTTTTTGAGAGACAGAAGGTAAAGCATCTATTCATGATAACCCTATCTAAGAAACATGAGCTGATGTGGTCTATCCAGTGCTGTTTTCTGAATCAGCTTCCCAGAGAATCCCAGAAACAAGCCTAAAAACCAAGAGACCAAGAAAAATATTTTTTGGTTGGAAATATGATAATGCAGCCTGATACCCACTGAACTGCCAATGGGTTCAAATGACAGGAAAAGAGATTTGTCCTGAACTTGAGGAAGAACTTCCTAACCACAAGAAGAACGGTTCAACAGAGAACTCTCTGCTTCAGAGACCAATGGTTTTAAACAGAGGCTGAATGGCCATCTGTTGGGCTGGTTTGGATTTTGCTTTTCCTGCCTAACAGAAGGGGGTTGGATCAGATGATCCTGAGGATCACTTCCAAGTCTATGATTCTTTGGTTTATTATTATTATTATTATTATTATTATTATTATTATTATTATTATTCAGAGGCTGGATGGCCATCTGTCAGGAGTGCTTTGATTGTGTCTTCCTGCTTGGCAGAAGGGGGTTGGACTGGATGGCCTTGTCCCTTCTGACTCTAGGATTCTATGCCAGGGCTCAGTGCCTTGGAAGCCTGGGAGTTGTGGTTTTGCAAGGCCTTTAGCCTTCTTTTGTAAAGACTGGTGGTGCCTCACTCCCAGGATTTCCTTGCAATGAGTCATGGCACTTCGAGGGGTGTCAAACTGCATTCATTCTGCAATGCAGATTAACCCACCATCCTCCAAAGAGAGGGTTTAGCAGCCACTCATGTCACTGGCACAAGGAGGGACCCTTTGGGTGCTTGGCCACCTTCAGGTAGTCCCTTGGTGTGCTTCCTCCCGGCRTCCTACTTGGGCCCCTTTCGCCCAGGCCCTCCCTTCCTGACCTTGTGTCCTGCTCCGSAGGAGACTGGCATTGCCCACCCAGAGCCCTGGGGGCAAGCYCGCTGAAAGGGCCGACCGGTCCAGGGCCACCCAGAGGCCCGGAGCCATGGCCAGGAAGATGGCATCGAACTCCACCACGACGCTCCCGGGGCTGCGGGGGAAGAAGGATGTGGTCAGCCATTGGTTTGTGCAAGGACAGTGACAGAGATGGGCACAAAGGCCCCAAAAGAAGGATGGGAGGAGAGGGAGGAAGGAGAGGAAGGGAATCAGGAAGGAAATAGGGAAGAAGAAGAAAGGAAGGAGAGAAGGAAGGAAATAGGGAGGGAGGGAAGGAAGGAGAGGGAAAGAGGGAGGAAATAAGAAGAAAATAAGGAGAAAGGGAGGGAGGGAAAGAAGGGAGGAAAGAAGAAGGAAGGAAGGAAAGGAAGGAGAGAGGGAAGGAAATGAGAGAGGGAGTGAGTGGGGGAAGGAGAAGAAGGAAATGAGAAAGAAATAAGGAGGTGATAGGGAGGGAAGCACTGGGAAGAATGGGGTGCCTCTTGGAGTGGACAAAACATTGTTAAGGGTGGCCAAGGGAGAGAAGACTCTCCCTGCAGAAGGTAAAGTTAAAGGTTTTCCCTGACATAAAGTCTAGTCATGTCTGACTCGGGGGGGGGGGGGCAGTGAACATCATCCCTCATTGTCCYTAGACACCACCAAGGTCATGTGGCCAGCATGACTGCATGGAYCACCGTTGCCTTCCCGCAGAACCAGTATCTATTGATCTACTCACACTTGCATGTTTTCGAACTGCTAGGTTGTCAGAAGCTAGGCCTAACAGCAGGAACTCATCCTGCTCCTTGGATTCAAACCTCCAACCTTTCGGTCGGTCAGCAAGTTCAGCAGCTCAGTGGTTTCACCCACTGCGCCACCAAAGGGGATTTCAGCAATTCACGTAACACCAGCTGAAATGCCCCCTTTTAGGCTCTCATTTTCATTCTAGCAACCTGGTTCTATCAACCTGACATTGTACCCAACCAGATCCCAGCCATACATTTTGTGTGGGCAATACTGTGGCAAGACAGTCCCAATTCGATCCCCTTGAGCCCTGAAATCTAAGTATCCCACCTTGCAAACCATTATCCGGGAAGCGGGGGGGGGGGGGGGGGGGGGGGGGGGGCTTTGCTCTCTTTGGAATGGAAGTTGTTAGTTTCTTAGGTGCCATGAATTCAGCGCACACAGACAAACAATGAATGCAACTCTTTAAATGCTGTAGGCAAACGTTTTCTTTCCTGCTTTCCGGAAACTCTAAATAAAAATAGACGAGAAAAGAGGAAGCCCAAACGTTTTGGCAAAATGTTTTTAAAGTATGTTCTAATAAACAGATCCTGTAACTGAGAAATGCATTCAGATTTGTCAGGGGTCTTTTCACATGTCACAGTTAATATAATTCCAGGGAATGTTGCTATGGGAGTTGAACTGGAATGAAAGTCCTTTATGTAACAGCGCTCAATGCAGTCATGCCTGCCACATGACCTTGGAGGTGTCTACGGACAATGCTGGCTCTTTGGCTTAGAAATGGAGGTGAGCATCAACCCCCAGAGTCGGACACGACTGGACTTAATGTCAAGGGAAAGCTTTACCTTTACCTATGTGCATAGTGTCAGGGTCCCAGGTCTGTGTCAGAGGTGTGCTACTTTGAGTGTCGATTGAGAGAGGAAAGTGGGGTATAAATAAATACATAATAATAATAATAATAATAATAATAATAATAATAATAATAATAATGCTGCTAACAGCAGGCCCTGAGTGCAGAGGGGTCCCTCTTGGCTCACATCCCTCCCCAAAACACCCTTTTGCAAGATATTCATTGGGGTTCCCCAGTATCTCCTGGACACTCTGAGCTATGTTTTAACCTGCCAGATTATGCTTGCAATGCTCCTTTACCTGGAAGATGAGGCTCTGAAACCTAGTAATAGAGGGAAAAAACAATGTACCGTATTGTCTTCACTTCCAGCCACTGGAATCCAGGCAAAGAGACCAAAAGAGGGGTGATCTGGAGAGAGAGAAAGGGAAGAGGCTGAATGAGAGGAAGAGAATGAGAGGAGACCCCTTTTCATGCCCTATTCTGTGGCCACCAAAGAGGATAGCTGTCCACTTTGGGGATCTTATCGGCCTAAAAAGGAGAAATGTTTGGCCCGTCAGGTTTTTGTAGTCCAAAAGATCTGGAGAGCCAAAGTCCCTTAAGAATAACATCAAGACTGTCCCCTCCATTGCAACAGGAACACGGGAAGCACTTCGCTCCACAGGAAGGAGTCGAAATGGCACAAAGTGACCATGGAGACAGAGTCATCCCATTATCCTTCCTAGCTTTTGGAGGCGATGCAAAGAAACATATTTTGGTATCAAATGTGGGATCTGGAGGTGAGTGCAATTCAGTTTTAAACCAGACCTCAGCTTGTTTCCAAAAATCTTTGAGACCATAAAGGATGCAGAACCAACCCTGCAAGGCAGGCCACAGCACTCACCGTTTCATTGACGCTGAGCACCAAATTCTGGTATTCAGGCGACTCTGGATTTCGGAGGCTCCTGGAAAAGTCCATGTCCAGGACAAGCTCACAGGGGACGCGCAAGAGAGCAGCTGAAGGAGCAGAGAGATGCGCCAAAAGTGGGGGAAAGGGGAGAAGAAAGGGATTACCTTCAAGTGGCTTCCCTGCTCAGGGCCTTCAAAGGGGTCATGGGTCCTTGGGGTTGGATACTAAATGTGTGGAAAATGGGACATGGGACATGGAACAGAGCATGCAGGGGCATCTCCAAAAGCTAAGGGGAGAGAGAAGGGAAAATGCAGCCCTCCAGGTGGGTATTACTATTATCGTTATTAATATTGTTATTAAAAACAATTCCAGGAACAATTGTGTCTCTATGGGGATAAAGGATCAGAGGTATCATTGAGAAGGGCCAGCCCAAGCAGATGATAATCATAATTTTAGTATTGTTAACTGCTTTGAATCTCTTCAAAGATAGTAGCTGTATTGGATTGTTGTTACTATTATTCTTATTGATAACAACAACAATAATAAAAACAACAACAAATAAGAATAATAAGAATAAACGACTCTCTGGCAAGAAAACTCTGGCATGGTCATCATATTGGAGTGAGCAGGAAAATAGCAATAATAATAATAATAATAATAATAATAATAATAATAATAATACAAAGATTCTGGCACAAGCCTGTAAAGGTGGTCCCAGTGGTGATTGGCACACTGGGTGCAGTGCCTAAAGACTTGGCCTGCACTTAAACACAATCGGCGCTGCCAGCTGCAGAAGGCCACCTTACTGGGATCTGCACGCATGTTTTGCCAATACATCACACTGTCCTAGACACTTGGGAAGTGTCCAACGTGTGATCCAATACAACAGCCAGCAGAGTGATCTTGTCTGCTGTGGACTTGTCTTGTTGTGTTTCAAATACTACTACTACTACTACTACTACTACTACTACTACTACTAATAATAATAATAATAATAATAATGTGACAATTGAAAGAAGGGTGGTGCATCAATGAGGTGGATACATATCATCTGGTGCCAGGAGCCATCCAGGAGCAGATATATTTCCTGGCCCACAGAGCCTTAAAAGACCCGCTTTCCAAGGGGACCTTCCCACTCCCTCCCAAACAGGCAATTCATGGGCAAGGCCATCCCAGCAATATCTGCCCCGCTCTCACCTTTCAGAAGGGGTGGCTGGTTCTCTGCCACAAAGATGGGGGGTGCCCTAGGGCCGCTTTCCCTCGGCGGGGTCTTCCCTGTGGCCTCTCCCTCCGGCTGCTCCTCCTCTGACCCAGGGGCCAGGAGCCAAGTGCTGGCAACTGGGGGCTCCTCCCTGGCAATGCTGCCTAGGTCAGGGGCTGTCATGGGCGGCCAGGTGTTCCAAAAGCCCCGGGGGGTCTCAGTCGGAGAGATCTGGGGCCAGAGTGTGGCTTCCTCCCTGGGACCAGATCCCGCTTCCCAGCTGTGAGTCCTGTCCGCAGATGTCTCTTGGGTTGCAGAACGATACTCGGGCACCATGGTTGCCTTTTTGGAATGTGGATTGGAGGATGTGGCCATTTTAGGGGGTAGTTCTGGATCCTGGGCCGCCTCCATGGCATACGGGGGCCCCGAGGGCCACTTGTTTGGGGTGGGGCTCTGGCCAATCATCCCGGGAGTCCTGCCATTGGGGGTCTCTACCATCTCAAACCCTGTTGGAGCCCCTTCTTGCTTTGCAGAAGGAGAGGGAAGCCTATGTGGTCTCTCTGTGGGGTCTATTGACACCCTAAGACTGTCTGAGGCCTCGATTGCATTGGAGCCCAATTCAGCATTTGTGGACCTAATGTGGGGGGCCTGTGTTTGCTGTGTGGGGCCACTCCCTTTTGCAAATAAGGTCCTGAAGGATTCCAATGGGGCCTGAAGAGTTCCTGTTTCTTCTCCCGAAGTGGGGAGGGGTCCTTCTAGTGACTCTTCTGCAGCATCCGAAGATAGGAAAGGTCCAAGACTGCCCTGAGAGGAGTCCGACTGTCTCTTGGGAGCATCCAGAGAGAGCCAGTCCAGGTTGGTGGGCAACGGGAGCAAGTCAGGGGTCTGAGGGTCATCTGAAGCCCCCACTCCAAGGCTAATGGTAGGGTTGGGGCTATTGCTGGAGATTCTCATCCAATACGGAGGTGAAGATGTTCCCCCAAAAGAAGAGGAGGAGGAGGAGGAGGAGGAGGAGGAGGAGGAGGAGGAGGGCTCTGCAGATGGGGATGGTGTTGGAATCCCTGCCAGGAGTTCTGAGCCATTTCTGCTCTCCTGCAAAGAGACTGTTGTTCCATGGATCCAGGAGGCAACTGAGCTCCCAAACAAACTGTCTTGAAGCACATCCTCCTCCTCTTTGGCCATTGAGCCTTCTTCGCGGGACTTTGGGGACGCTGGGTGCACAGAGGTCCAAGGCTTTGGAGGCTGGCTTTGAAGAAAGAGGCTTGGCTTTGTTGCCAGTCCTACAGAGTCCTCATTAGCCCCTGTCTCTCCTGTAGCCATCTGTTGAGAGCTCTGAATGGATGCCGAGGCCAAATCTGTTGTGCCGGTGGGCATATTTGCCCTTCGTCCTGAGGCTGCAGAGCGGGATGGCAACCACGGGAGAGCTGGCTCAGTAGCTGGCTGTTGTGTCCAAGTGAGAATCGTGCCCCTGACTTCTGTGCCCCCGATCTGGGCTGTTGGGCTGCAGAATCTCCCATCATTGCAAGGAGTCTCAGTTGGGGCCCCCTCTGACCCTTCTGCCATGGTGGTGTTAGATCTCTCATCCTTCGTGTCTTTAGCCCCTTTTCCAGCCTCGGTCCACCTGCGTTGCACCTCCGCATTGGAGCCCAGAAGCGATGGCAAGGATACCTGAATGGAGGGCCAGCCTCCAGGGCCAGGGCTGGGGTCTCCTTGGGAGGCAGGTGAAGGGGTGGGTGCTGGTCCCGTGGTGTCTTTGGGGTAAACAGATGCAGGGAGCAGGGTCAGCATGGGAAGGAGGGTCATGAACCTGGTTGGGACCAGAGGTAGGGGCAAGCGGGGGTGCCCATTGCCCCCCGAGACACCCAGGGACCCCTTGCTCTCTGCTGTTCCAGGGAACTGAGTCCTCCTTGTTGCCCAGTCTGCTGATTCAGTGGGAGTTTCTCTATGCAGATGTGTGGACAATGCTGGCAAAGTTGGTTGTGGCTGATGAGAGGGCAAGAGAGACCTTGCAGAAGACCCAGAGGAGAGGGAAGGGTCCTGCTGAGCCGCTTGGGATCTTCTTGGCATCTTCATGGTGTTCGGCTCTTGGCTTGGAGACCCCTGAAGCCCAGAGACCTCTGACACTGCAGGGGAGCAAAGGCATCGCCATCATCATCACATTCATTATTGCCATCATCATCATCACTACCACCACCATCACTATCATCAACATCGTTACCACCACCATCATTGCCATCATCATCATCATTATCATCATCACTACCACTACCATTGTCATCATCATCATCACCACCATCATTGCCATCATCATCATCATCACTACCACCACCATCATTGCCATCATCAACATCATCACTACCACCATCATTGCCATCATCATCATCACTACCACCACCATCATTGCCATCATCATCACCACCACCGTAATCATCAATATCATCATTGCCATTAGGAGCCCCCGGTGGCGCAATGGGTTAAACCCTTGTAACGGCAAGACTGAAGACTGACAGGTCGGAGGTTTGAATCTGAGGAGAGCGTGGATGAGCTCCCTCTGTCAGCTCCAGCTTCCCATGCCGGGACATGAGAGAAGCCTCCCACAAGAATGGTAAAACATCAAAACATCTTGGTATCCCCTGGGCAACATCCTTGCAGACAGCCAATTCTCTCACACCAGAAGCAACTTGCAGTTTCGCAAGTCGCTCCTGACACGGAAAAAAAAATCGCCATTGCCACCATCACCGTAATCCTCATTACCATTGTCAATATCATCATACTCATTATCTGCATCACCATCATCATTAGCATCAGCATCCTCATCCTCATCACCATCAATTGTATTTACTATCTGCCTCTCCTCTCAGCTCAAGGCGGGGTACAACACATTAAAACTCAACACCAAGCAGCATTAGACCGCATCACACTAGAGAATAAATCCACTTTAAATCCGGTTTCTGCCTCCTGCAGAATTCTAGGGTTTGTAGTTTAAGGAGGAGCTTTTATCAGCCTCATTAAACTACAAACCCCAGAATTCTGCAGGAGGCAGAAACCGGATTTAAAGTTGATTCATTCTCTAGTGTAACGAAGAGGTACTTAATTTCCACCATCATCATTCTAAATAAGGTTATAATCTGACTTCTCCCCAAATTTGAGGCTTGGGGTAACTCACCTGCACTGGTCACCTTCACTTTGATCCATTTTGCAGACAGGCCAATAACAAATTGAGTCTTTTGCACTCAAGAACCTGTCTTGCTGGAGGAGGAAGAGCTGCTTTTCTCTTTCAACATTTAATAATAATATTAGGTAAAGGTAAAGGTTTCCCTTTGACATTAAGTCTAGTTGTGTCCGACTCTGGGGGTTGGTGCTTATCTCCATTTCTAAGTTGAAGAACTGGCATTGTCCATAGACACCTCAAAGGTCATGTGGCTAGCATGACTGCATGGAGAGCCATTACCTTCCTGCCAGAGCAGGAACAAAGAATAGAACAAAGATTAAAATGTCAAAACTAGTAAACTGCAGGTGAGCTTAGCAGAAGGGAAGGGGAAGAAGTACAGAATCCCCACCTATTCCAAGTGGGAACTCTGCTCTGTTCAAACCACACCAGTTTCCCCAAAAGGGAGGCCGATCCCTTTGCAAACAGGTGGCCAGCTGCAGAGCCAGGAAGGCGAGGATCTCCAGGCCATCACACAAACACTCCAACCAACCCTTTTACAGCCCCATCCTCTACCTATGCCCCTATATCCCTGAATCCAGAATTACCAGAAGCGAGGAATCCTCTACCTATAACCCTCCCACAGTCACTGGGAGGATAAGGAAAAGTTCAGCCTCCTTAAACAGGTAACAATGGATGAATATGCAAAAAGAATGCAGGGATGGCAGGGCCGAACAGTTGGAGTGACCCAAAGTGCCTTCTTCTCTCTGCCTACCTATCTTGACCCCTCTCGGATGGAAAGGGATGTGTTCTTTCCCTCTCTTCTCCTTCCCTTGAGTCTTCTCCCGACTTTCCAAGATGGTGCTAAGTTAGACCTGCCTTCTGAGAAACCTTCAGATGAAGCTTAGTTTGAGTTTCCTTTCTCTGCTAATAATCATCTGTGGGACTTTTGGTATCTTCACTCATTCCTTGAGACCACTGCAACCCACACCGATGACTGATCAAGTCCTAACGTGGCACATAGAGCCCCCATGACCCACTCTATGTCCTGGTGTGGTTTTCAGGACGACGGACCATGGACAGTGGGATTTGCAGTATCTTCACTCACTTCTTGAGACCACTGCAACTCACACCAATGACTGATCAAGTCCTAACTTGGCACACAGAGCCCCCATGAACCACTCTATGTTCTGGTGTGGTTTTTGAAATGAAGGGCCATGGACAATGGGACTTGCAGTATCTTCACTCGTTTCTTGAGACCACTGCAACCCACACCGATGACTGATCAAGTCCTAACGTGGCACACAGAGCCCCCATGACCCACTCTATGTTCTGGTGTGGTATCCGGGACCACGGACCATGGACAATGGGATTTGCGGTATCTTCACTCACTTCTTGAGACCACTGCAACCCACTCCGATGACTGATCAAGTCCTAACTTGGCACATAGAGCCCCCATGACCCACTCTATGTCCTGGTGTGGTTTTTGGGACGACGGACCATGGACAATGGGATTTACAGTATCTTCACTCACTTCTTGAGACCACTACAACCCACACCGATGACTGATCAAGTCCTAACTTGGCACATAGAGCGCCATGACCCACTCTATGTCCTGGTGTGGTTTTTGGGACGACGGACCATGGACAATGGTATTTGCAGTATGTTCACTCACTTCTTGAGACCACTGGAACTCACACCAATGACTGATCAAGTCCTAACTTGGCACATAGAGCCCCCATGACCCACTCTTTTTCCTGGTGTGGTTTTTGGGATGACGGACCATGGAAAATGGGATTTGCATTATCTTCACTCACTTCTTGAGACCACTGCAACCCACACCGAAGACTGATCAAGTCCTAACGTGGCACATAGAGCCCCCATGACCCACTCTATGTCCTGGTGTGGTTTTTGAGATGACGGGCCATGGACAATGGGACTTGCAGTATCTTCACTCATTTTATGAGACCACTGCAACCCACACCGAAGACTGATCAAGTCCTAACGTGGCACATAGAGCCCCCATGACCCACTCTATGTCCTGGTGTGGTTTTTGGGACGACGGACCATGGACAATGGGATTTACAGTATCTTCACTCACTTCTTGAGACCACTGCAACTCACTCCAATGACTGATCAAGTCCTAACTTGGCACACAGAGCCCCCATGACCCACTCTGTGTTCTGGTGTGGTTTTTGAGATGACGGGCCATGGACAATGGGACTTGCAATATCTTCACTCACTTCTTGAGACCACTGCAACCCACACCAATGACTGATCAAGACCTAACTTGGCACACAGCGCCCCCATGACCCACTCTACGTCCTGGTGCAGTTTGGAGGACAATGGATCATCAACAATGGGCAGGGGCGGCTCATCCATTACGCGAAGTAAGCGGTCGCAGAACACTTTTTTTTGCCAGGGGCGCAGAGGCGCCTCTGTAAATGCCCCTCGACTGCCACTTGAGGAGCGCCCCCTCAGCTCACAACAGCCCTAGCAGTCCGGGGGGAGCCTCGGCTTTCTTGCCTTGCTGCCGGGCGATCCTCTTCCCAAAGGGGCCGGGCCCTTGAGCCTCGCCTAGCCCCTCTCGTTCCTGCTCCACCCGGCCACCGGGTGTGTGAGCAGAGCCGGCGCTCAATCGTTCTCTGCATTCGATCCCTTCCCCATGACCGGCTCCCTTTCCCGATCCCCCGGCACTCCACCCTCCTCCTCTCCTCTCCCGAATCCGCGGGTGGGCCAAAGGGCGGAGCCGCCATGTCTGGCCCGCTTTGGGTCCGGAGGCGTGTCTGAAGACCCCAACGTGCGCACCAAAAGTCGCCTCTTCTCCTGACTTTCTCTTCAGCCATTGGGACCAAGAGAGAGAGAGGGGTATCTCCGGCTGGAGGTATCTCTCACCTCCGCTTCCTCCTTTGTTTTTGCGCCTACCTTCAGGAAAGGTGGGCATCTCCACCTCTTTCTCTCTCTCTCTCGGTCCCAATGGCTGAGGAGAAAGTCAGGAGAAGAGGTGACTTTTGGTGCACACGCCGGGGTCTTCAGGCACACCTCCAGACCCAAAGCGGGCCAGGCAAGGGAGCAAGTGCGGCAAGTGTAGTTACTGGGATGTATAGTTCACCTACAATCAAAGAGAATTCTGAACTCCACCAATGATGGAATTGAACCAAATATGGCACACAGAACTCCCACGACGAACAGAAAATATATATCAATGATTGGTTGGGGGGGGGGGCGCCAAAATACTGTTTGCTTACCTTTGAAAATTACCTAGGGCCGCCTCTGACAATGGGACTTCCATATGGGAGTTGTAGTTCACTCACACCCACTGAACCAGCTGACATTGGATCTACACTCAGTCTGAGGCAAAGACAAGCAATGCCTTTTTCAAATAACCCGGGCATTGCCAGGTCCCCAAGCTAGTAGAGCAATAAAGGACCACAGCAAAATGCCCTCAAAGATGTAGCTGATGGAGGGGTCCAGAGGTCTACCTGCCCCAAACCCAACCCTAGGGATGATCCCTGTTTTCATCCACAGACCTTCGAACCCTCTTTGGGGCCACCATTGTCCTGAGAAGGAAGCCTGGCCCTGGGGCCCTTCCAAAAAGGCCCAAATTGGGCCCGAAAGAGACAGCCCACCCTCTGAGACAGAATCAGCGCATCCTCAGCAGCGCTGGCCCAGCGTCGCCATGGCAACCGGCATTCTCCGGCAGAGAGGCTCTGGGGTCTGCGGAGGGAGGGGGTTGCCTGGCATCGCTTCGGCTGCAGAAGGGAGCAGAGGCTCCTTACGTTGGCATGTTCACACCCAGGCATAAAGAGGGGAAGCATTGGGAGAAATCTGGGGGAAAGGGCTCCCTGGGCATGGGGTGCGGGTGGGGGAGTCCATATTATCTCCCCAGAGCAGGAATCTGGTTGAGGTCATGATGGTGCTGCTGGTAAGAGGGAGGCAGGAAGGAAGGAAGGAAGGGGCCAGGGAGAAGCCAAACCCTGGAAAATGTGCAAAAAAACCTACATGATAGCAGCACCCGTTTCTCAGTGGAAAGTGTGCTGCTGTGATTGTGGAGCTTTTGTTGTTGTAGCAAGGATTTACACAAATGTGAAGCAAAGCACAGCCAAAATGGAAGGACAGTACTGCAAGAGGTTTCCAGAAATAATATTGGCTTGGTCTTATTATGAATATTCGTTTCTAGCATTTGCAAGGAGACCCAAAGCTGCATTTGGAAGGGGATTAAGATTAAAAGCACACACACACACACAAGTCTCCCAGAAAAAAAGAGAGGAGGCAAATGGGGAAGATGAAGAGGAGGAGAATCAGAAGAGTGGAGGTGAATCCTTTTCACTGGGTTGCTGTGAGTTTTCCAGGCTGTATGGTCATGTTCCAGAAGCATTCTCTCCTGACATTTTGCCCACATCTATGGCAGGGATCTTCAGGGGCTATGAGGTCGGTTGGAAACTAGGCAAGTGAGGTTTATATATCTATGGAATGTCCAGGTTGGGAGAAAGAACTCTTGTCTGTTTGAGGGAAGTGTCAATGTTGCAATTGGCCAGCTTGATTAGCATTTAATGGCCTTGCAGCTTCAAAGTCTGGCTGCTTCCTGCCTGGTGGAATCCTTTTTTTGGGAAATGGTCTTGTAGCAAGCTTGCGTCTTGCAGACAAGAATCAATCAGGGCCACCTAAAACCTCCCAACAAAGGATCCCCCAGGCAGTAACCAGCCAGGCTTTGAATCTACAAAGTCATTCAATGCTAATCAGGGTGTGCAAAGAACAACACTAAAAAAACAGGGGAATTCCTGAGAAGAAACTATCAGGGACAGCTAACACCTCCCCAAAAAGGACGCCTCCAGGCAGGAAGCAGCCAGGCTTTGAAGCTGCAAGGCCATTAAATTATAATCAAGCTGGCAATTGCAACATTCACACTTGCATTCAACAGACAAGAATTCATTCTCCCATTCTGGACATTCCACAGGTATATAAACCCTGCTTGCCTAGTTTCCAACAGACCTCACAACCTCTCAGGATGCCTGCCGTAGATGTGGGTGAAATGTCAGGAAAGAATGCTTCTGGAACATGGCCAGACACCCCAAGGAATAGAATGACAGAGTTGGAAAAGACCCCAAAAGACTATTATGGTTTTATCTCTCTGTCTTAACACTGTTGATGGCAAGCTGCAAGGAGACACTGGCAATAAATCCATATAGGATTGTTATTATTTATTTCTACCCCACTTTCTTCCCTGTAGGGAGGGACTCAAACCGGATCTGAACCATGCCATCTAATAACTATTTAAAACAAAGCAAGTGCATTTAAAAAATACCAATAACTGTTCAATATTAGGATGTGGATATAAAATTAAAATACAATTAGAACACATTGGGGGTTTAGTCTAAACTCCAAAGGAGCTCTGTGGGGTCCGAAATTATCTATTCTTCAATTCACTGAAAGGGAGCAGATGCTGACATGGCAGGAACATGGGAAAGAAGGGACTCTATTTGGACTGCCAAGTGGACTCTAGTTGGACTCCTCCTTTGGGGGATTTCAAGAAGAGACTGATGGCCATCTATCAGGAGGGCTTGAATTGTGCTTTTTCTGTATGGAAGACCCTTGGGAGGGAGGGTCCCTTCTGACTCTAGCTCTGTTTCTCCATGAGGCTGGATGGGTATCTGTCAGGAGGGCTTTGATTGTGCCTTCCTTCCTGCCAGCAGGGGTTGGACTGGATGGCCTCTGAGGGTCCCTTCCAACTATAAGAGTCTTTCATTTTCTGTGAGCCTGCTCATGTATCTAGGAGGCTGGGCGGGCATCTGTTGGGAGGGATTGGGTGGTGTCCTAGGATGGAGATGGAGATTTTTGATTTACCGTGAGCCTGCTCATTTCTATAAGGCAGGGTGGCCATCTGTCGGGAGGGATTAGATAGTGTCCTTCCGCGGTGACAGATGGGGAATGGATTAGACTTCCAACTCTAGGATTCTATAGCTGTGTTTCTCCATGAGCTTGCTCATGCCTATGAAGCTGGGTGTGCATCTGTTGGGAGGGATTGGGTGGTGTCCTAGGATGGGGATGGAGATTTTTTTCCCCCCTTGAGCCTTCTCATTTCTATAAGGCTGGGTGGCCATCTGTCGGGAGGGATTCGATAGTGTCCTTCCTCTATGGCAGATGGGGGATGGATTAGATGGCCCATGGATGAGTCCCTTCCAACTCTAAAATTCTCTAGCTGTGTTTCCCCATGAGCCTGCTCATGCCTATGAGGCTGGGTGAGCACCTGTTGGGAGGGGGTTGGACTGGATGGCCTTTGAGGGACCCCTTCTAACTGTAAGCGCTTTCGATTCTCCATAAGCCTGCTCATTTGTCTAGGAGGCTAGGTGGCCATCTGTTGGGAGGGATTGGGTGGTGTCTAAGGGAGGATGGAATCATAGAACTGTTAAGAGACCCATCCCCATTCCAGGAGACTACCCAATCTCTCCCAACAGATGGCCACCCAGTCTCCTTGGCACACACTCGGGGGGGGGGGGGGGGCGCGGCAGTCAGTTTCCTAGGGATCAGGTCTCCTTGGAAGGGTCTTCCTTCTCCCGAAGGGCCAAAGACAGACCCACCCCTCCCCAGCGGCGGTTTGGTGCCCTCCCTCTTTCCCAGGACCCTTAGAAACCCCCTTCTTCCCCCTCTCCTTGCCCTCTGCCCCACAAAGATCCCCTTACCTGCTCCCAGGAGGAGGAGGAAGAGGATGCTGCCCATGCTGCGCCCGCCTGGATGCATGGAGAGGAGGAGCGAGGACGGGGGGGGGGGGGGGGGGAGAAGGGCCCTCGGAGCATGTGCAGAGCGCGAGGAGCCTCCCCTTCGAAAGGAGGGAGGGAAAGAAACCCACCCGCGGAAAAGGAGGGAGGAGGGAGGAAGGAAGGGAGGCACCCCTCCTTGCCTCTGCGGGGAGGGCATTGGCCAGCTCCAAAGGGTGGCACAGAACACCGAGGGACCTCCAAGGGCCATTCAATCCAACCCCCTAGGAGGAAAAGCACAATCTAAGCCCTTCCAGCAGATGGCCATCCAAGTCTCATAGGCATTAGCAGGGGAAATAGGGCTGTAGAAAGGCTCCTAGAGTCCAAAGAGACCGCCAAGGGCTATCCAATCCACCCCCCTAGGAGGAAAAGCACAATCTAAGCCCTCCCAGCAGATGGCCATCCAAGTCTCATTAACAGGGAATATAGCTGTGGACAGAATCCAAAGAGACCTCCAAGGGCCATCCAATCCACCCCCCTAGGAGGAAAAACACAATCCAAGCCCTCCCAGAAGGTGGCCATCTCATGGGCATTAGTAGGAGAAATAGGGATGTAGAAAGGCTTCTAGAGTCCGAAGAGACCTCAGAGGGCCATCTAATCCAACCCTTTTGTCATAAAGGCACTTCCTATTCCCTCCTGACAGCTGACCTTTACTTAAAGACCTCCATAGGAGGAAACTGGGTGGCCATCTGTCAGGAGGGCTTGGATAGGTCCCAAGCCTTGCTAGCACTACTTATGCTGTGCCTGTGGCCAGAGAAATGTTCCTTCCCACTGGCCAGGGACAGTGCAGGCATGGGCAAACTTAGGCTCTCCAGGTGTTTTGGACTTCAACTCCCATGATTCCTAATAGCGTTGCTTTCCATCCATTCCTCTTGTTGCGATGCACCTTCGTGGTGGCCTTGCCCTTGGGCGCTTATTACTCTGTGGCCGAGTGAGGGTTCCAACCCAAATCATCCCATATACCACCACACTGGTCCTTGGCTCTTCTGTGCCTTACAGTCAGCTCCAACTGCAGGGGTTTCGTGGCCATTTGCATTCAGAAATGTTACCCTCCCCCCTTCCCCATAGTGTGTGTGAGACCTGCCCCATGCAATCCACTTTGTGACAATGTTTTCTTCCACAACAGGGAAGCACCTTCCAAATACATATATCTCACAGCAGTAAGGCTTTAAGGAAATGATGGGAAGCATGCCAAATGTTGCCAGCATCCAGCAGGGCCAGGCAGCATAGTATGTGGAATGCTGGGAGTTGGAATCCAAGAATATGAGGTTCAAAGGTTGATTGAAACTCCAATTCAACACATGGCTTTATTTTCCTGGAACTCCTGCACCAAATAACATACAGGGTATATAAGCAACAAGGCTTTGGGTGCTAAAGCAGCTCTAGGAACTAAGCAACGGAGAGGCAGATAATATGGTAAATAAATTTGTATTACTATTATACTGATTAATTTACCATATTATCTGCTATTATTACTATTATTGGAACCCCTGGTGGTGCAGTGGGTTAAACTGTTGATCTGCTGAACTTGCTGACTGAAAGGTCAGCAATTTGAATCCAGGGAAAGGAGATTCCATCTGAACACGAGGAAGAACTTCCTGACTGTGCGAGCTGTTTAGCAGTGAAACTCTCTGCCCTGGAGTGTGGTGGAGGCTCCTTCTTTGGAGGTTTTTAAACAGAGGCTAGATGGCCATCTGTCAGGGGTGCTTTGAATGCAATATTCCTGCTTCTTGGCAGAGGGTTGGACTGGATGGTCCATGACGTCTCTTCCAACTCTATGATTCTATGAGTGAGGTGAGCTCCCATTGTTAGCCCCAGCTTCTGCCAACTTAGCAGTTCGAAAACACTGCAAATGTGGGTAGCTCAATAGGTATTACTTTGGTGGGAAGGTAACGGCTCTCCATGCAGTCATGCTGGCCACATGATCTTGGGGGTGTCTACAGACATCAGCTCTTCAGCTTAGAAATGGAGATGAGCAACAACCCCCAGAGTCGGACACGACTAGACTTAATGTCAAAGGGAAACCTTTATCTACTATTATTAAATGCTGAAAGAGAAAAGCAGCTCTTCCTCCTCCGGCAAGAGACAGGTCCTTGCATGCAAAAGACTCAATTTGTTATTGTCCTGTCTGCAAAATGGATCAAAGTGAAGGTGACCAGTGCAGGTGAGTTACCCCAAGCCCCAAATTTGGGGAGGTCAGATTATAACCTTATTTAGAATGATGATGGTGGAAAGAGAGGAAAAGTTTCCAGCCAAAGGGAATGTTCTTTGCACCCATTAAGAAAACATATCAGGACACCAGGATATCATGAAAGCCACCAACTGACTGGAGTTCTTCAGTGCCACCTTCTGGCCATTCTCAGCCACTGATCAAATGCTGCTCCTCAGGCAGTGCGAGGAAGCACTGCCTCTCTTGATTCTGTACCAGGAGCCACTGGGACATGGACGATGGGAACAAGAGCCAAACTGAAGTCTTCCTCTGTTCATTTGGCTACAAAACCACTTTTCCCCAGAAGCTGATTTGTCACTCAACCAAAACCGAATCCAGATAATTACCAGAAGCAAGGAATCCAAAAAGTGAATACATTTGTCCGTGAGGGTGAGAAGAAGGGAGCCAGTAACAGCCTCGCATTTATTTCAAAGGCCAACATAGATTTGTACAACATTAAATACAGCAGATGGCAGAACTATCTGTCCGAGACCAACAGTGACTGATGCAGTGAGGGGCACAAAGGGGTCCGTGTGTCTTGATCACCAGGGTCCCCCCTTTCCTGCGCACACCATCCAGGCCCTCAGGGCAGAACTGAAATACCTACGGAAAAGAGAGCAGAGACTGCAAGGCACCACAAATCTTGACCTTCCAATGGGTCATAAAGCGGGATGGCCGTGCCCTCTCCCTTCCCAGCTGCCAAGCTTGCAAAGATCACCCTTTCCCCCTTCACATTTGGATTGCGCCTGGGTTCTCCTTCTCTCCTCTGTAAACTTACCTTCCACTGGTTGCTTGCGTCGGCTTTTTAGGAAAGCTTCCCTCTTTCCCCAAAAAGTGCTTTCTGTCATTATGCTTAGTTCCTATGTTTTGTGTATATTGTTTTATATGCTTTGATGTTTTATATTTTAATGTTATGTTGTTTATTTGATTGCAATTTGTATTGTTATATTGTAATTCTTGTTYGGGCTTGGCCCCATGTAAGCCACTCTGAGTCCCCTTTGGGGAGATGGTGGCGGGGTACAAATATAGTTTATTATTATTATTATTATTATTGGCTTGGTCTCTCCGCTCTTATCAAACCCCAGAGTCAGAGGAGACCCCAAGGGCCCTCTGGACCCACCCTAATCTACTACAAAGGGGGACACCATCCAAGCAAATCTTACTTGTGCCTTGCAAAAGATGCTCTGCTGCCTCCCCCCAAAGTTCCTGGTGTTCACTCTTTCATATTTCTTCCTTTGCACTTGAGCCCATTCCGACAGCAAGGCAGGCAATCCACCTACTGACCCTCCTCATTCCATTCCTCGAAGACTTTCTCTTTTAATAAGGAAGAGTAGCTTCCAGGTGTAACCAGTAAACATGGCAACACTGGCTAAGTAGAGAACGGAAGGCCTATATTATTATTATTATTATTACTATTATTACTATTATTATTATTCCTCTTTTTCTCTCTAAAAAAGAGACTAAAAGCAGCTCATAATAAATCCAAGTACAAAGCCCTTCTCAATCTCAAATATCATAGAATCATGGAGCTGAAAGAGACCACATGGTCCATTTAGTCCTATTGTTGTTGTTGTATAATTATTATTATTATTATAATTATAATAATTATTATTATTTATACCTTGCCTTTCTCCTTGTGGGGACTCAATCCCACACTTAGTCAACACAAAAGTTAAAAAACAATAAAATAGTAACCGTGTGATAAGCCCTATCCCCTGCCATGCAGGAAAAGTACAAAGTACCCCTGACAGATGGTCATCCGGCCTCTGTTTAAAAGCCTCCAAGGCAGTGAGTTCCACTGTTGAACAGTTCTTCTTATGGTCAGGAGATTCCACCTGAACATGAAGAACCTCCTTTTCTCGTAACTTGAACCCATGGGTCCATTGAGTTCAGGGCAGCAGAAAACAAGCCTCTGCCTTATGACATCCTTGAAGATATTTAAACAGGGCTCTCATGTCTCATCTCTGCCTTCTCTTCTGGAGACTAAACAGGCCCAGCTCTTTAAGCCGCTCCTCATATGAGCCAAAACCTATCATTCTGCTTCTGCTGAGTCAAATCCTGTTCTCCTTGTTGGAAGAGGGACCCAGCAAGGGAGCCTGACCTATGCTGCCCTTGCCAGGCACTACCATTGGATACTCTTTGACCAACTGCCCAAAAGAGAGCATCCTTTTTTATGGGACTGGCATCCCAAGGCCCTGAGTGCGTGTCTACTTACTCGGCTCAATGGACATGCGCTTTATTCATACACATCTTTCTTATCGGCAATGTACTCTACAATCTCTTGGGGACACATCAGCTTCTCCGCTTCCACGTCGGGAATTTCAAACCCTGGGGAAATAGGGCCCTGTTTAGTTCATCCAGATACGGCTAGAATTGGGTGAGGTTGATGTGATTCCCCCCAAGGGCCTTTGTAAACATCAAAGGAGGCTTTACCGAATTCGTCTTCCATCGCCATGATAATCTCCACTTGGTCCAGGCTGTCCAAGCCCAGATCTTTCATGAAGTGGGAACTTGCTGTGAGCTGGAAAGGGGAAAATTGGGGGGAGGGGGGGCAGGAAGAAGTCCCATCACACACAAATTAACAGAGAATCCACAATATTCCTAGGAATGCAGACAAGAGTCCCACTATCTCACAGTGTACTGTTCAAACAATCAATGTTGACCTCTCTCAATCTTAGAGAATCATTGCATAAAAGTGATTACAATAACAAACTCTCACTGAACCCCAGTTACCTCCCTCGAATACCAGGAAATCCTGACTTCTGTCTTCATTTTATGTTCTAATTGCATCTG